TATTTCATCCTAAATGAATGGACCTCTTGAGCCAGGGTATACATGTATTTTATGATCTTTACTCCACTTGAAACCGTTTCATAAATTGTATACATGTATTTACCTCTTCTCTTTCTAATTTTAGTTCCTCTTTTGTTTTTAAAAGTTTTGAGTGTAACTGCCTCTCTCGTTCATTTCCCATAGCAATTTCCCTCTGAGCAGATTCCAACTGTTCCTAAATAAAACAAAAGTTATACACACAGTAATAATTAAAATACATGAACAGGTTTGCTTTCCTGGTAACCTTAATTGATCAGGATACTCCTGCATGTACCTCACAATAATTTTGCACGACATTATGCAACAAACAATTTTGCCGAAAAACTTTAATTTAGTTGGGTTTTGAATTAACTTTAACAAAAATGTTTGAAATACCTTTAGTCTCTTCTGGGCCTGCATCAGATGCTCATTGTCACATTCTGATCGAAGGTTCCTTAAAAACAACGAAAAAGGAAGTGCCACACTATGTAAGATTATGTCTTTACAAAGATATTAAACTTGACCTAAACTAACCTTATAGCCTTTCATGTACAAATATTATGTATTAAGCCTTTATGTTACTTACACTGAATTTGGGGTTTCCCAAAAACTTGTCAAAACTACTAATGTTTTTAGGATGTTTACAGCCATACACATCCTTTCAGGCAATCATAATAGACTGGACACAGTCTCTTTCTTTCTTCTGAGTGACAGTAATACATGTAATCAAAAATAATTTTTTGCTTCCCACACATGGCTCTAAGAAAAGAGAGACAACAACTCCCAGTTACGTTTATAAGGAAACCACATTGAAGGCATGGTGGCTGAGTGGTTAACACTTCAGACTTAAGATGGAAGTCTAGGTTCAAGCCTTGACATGACATTGTTTCCTTAGACAGGATAATTTGCTCCACTTAACCTCGATCTCTTCACCTTGGTTTACATGATTGTATAAATGGGTATTGTGCTGTGCAAAACATATTGCTGGACGTAACTCTGCAATTGATTGGCATCCCATCTAATTGGTGGGGGCGGGGGATAGAATAATACCCAATCACTTTGTGCCACAGAAACTAGGATAAGTTCAAGGTGTGACAAGCCACATGACTAATACACAGACTTTTCTTTACCTTACCGCAGGAAAGTCACTAACGAAGATTTCAAGATGCCAAAAATATGCAATTAATGGGCAGGAAATGGAACAACTAGAATTCAATTTGGTTCTATTTTCCTTTCATTTCTTATGAAAGTAGGTGGGTGTCAAGCTTATAGCAGCTGCTGGAATTTCAATAAATTTTGTGACACAGCTGCTTTAATTATAGTGTATTTTAATCAACCCAGCAGTTTTTGACCTAAATTAGAGTTTCATTACCCTGGGTACCAGAGGTACCATAGGCTGAAGCCAGGAGCGGCAAATCTGCGAGAAAAAACAGGTCACTATAAAGACTTACTGACAGAATCCAGAAACCACGCTAGAAAAGTCTCTGGCACCCAGGGTGGAGTATCATGTGTAAGATGGTCACAATGACCCTGGCAACCTCAAGGAAGGCTATTATTCATTACCAACAGAAGTTACCAGTATATCACAGCAACAGCAGACCTGACCTAGACACATTTTCACACAGAAATAAATTCATTGCCTAGCACTCACTTCTCCTCAAGATCTGTTCTTTGTTTCATATTGCGCTGTTGTTGTTGTAAGAGTTCGTAGGTACTGTTGATGAGTTTGACAATGTCAAAAGTATCAGCGGGTCCAATTCCATTGCGAGAAGGTGCAAATAAAGACGAGAATCCAAGAACACCAAGCTCCTGCGTATACACAATGAGTGATAACAGTTTATTTATTTTATTAAATAATCCTACATCACCTTTACTTTAATTAAGCCTAAGAAACATATCTGACAAACTAAAAACCTCTTATAAGTTGGGAATTTGCCATATGCAACAGGCAAATGAAGATGAAAACTTTGCATTGTTCCATCTAGGTAAGCAAGTTTTTAAAGTCAGAATTACTTTGAATGAATAATAAAACAGTTATTGGATCCCACTTTTGTACATGTATGAACTGAAGAATTATGCAGATCTTGGAGGGTGCTATCTGCCTCAGCTTATCATGCTCAGCCTCATTCACTAATATTGCCAAATATTTTAACAAAAACTCCTTGTAATTTTCTTTGAGAATGGGGCTAAAATAATGTATAAAATTGAACTGTTAGCCTTTCTATGGGATAAGGCATTCTTGGTGTAATATACACCTATCAGACCAATAAAAATAGGCTGATAAGCACTTAATATTCAGTGGTTTGCAAAAATCTTAGTTTCCATGGTGATCAACGTGGGTGCAACTTGGGACGTGACATGATAGTCAAATAACCAGAATCTTTCCTGTTAAAATAATCAAAAGGACTATTGTTTGTCCTACATGTCTCAGAGCTCTGTGAAGGTAAGCAAGTATTCCTACAATAGGTATTTGAAATAAAAGAGTTATAGGTATGTACCAACACATAGCACACTGCATTGTTATGTCCATTATAGTGTTGCATTGAACAACAAGTTTCACTGGAAACTCTGTCTGTTTTATATCTAGCAAATCGGGGTCAGTTGGGAAAAAGCCAAATCCCTGAATTAAGTAAATTTTTTTCACATTGAGTGTGAAAACATGACACTTTTTTTATTTTTAAAAACTCAAAATCATAGTCAGGCATGCATGTTATGATTATTTTTTTGATTGCAAATTCATATATTAACAAGTTCATTCATGTGCACTGCTATTCTTCTTAAATTACACCTCCTTAGGCTATATACAGTTGCAAATATCTTGAAACAAATGTTCCGGTTTGTAAGCTATATTGATAGAGTTACTAAATGCTCAGCTTAATAACTCCTCGTTGAGGACCTTAGCTAATATGGTTACATAAAATATTGAGCTAGAGAGTTTATTTCATTCGAAAAATTTTTTGTCAGTTCGCTAAAAACATCTAAAACAGTTTCTATTTGAAAATAACAATTAACGTGACAATGAGCATTGTCATTAGTTATTAAAATGTTTGCTGAAGGATTTGAATAGAAATCTGATAAAATCCCAGAGAGTCACAAACAAGAATACATGGAAAATCACTCTCTGCATGATCTTTGAAGTTTATCCGAACAATTAGGCTTAAGTCAGAAAGATTTTCGGCCGACGAAGGTGTCGGTCGTTACAGTGTTCCGACCGATAGTGAATATCAACAGGATCTAACTGCTTGGTAAGCGAAGCGAGCAAAGTTGAGTAATCAGCAGTTTATGAAAATTAGGAAACGTTGTCCGATTACACCGAACGCGAATGTATAATTAAAGATAAAGCTGAAATCCATCTTCGAAAACGAAAATATTTGACCTAAATACAACCAAATGACGTTTACGGATTAGCGATCATATTTCAAGAAATGAAAGAAAATCGCGTTTTGCATACATGAAAAGAGAGCAGTAATTAGCTTCCCGATACTAAGCACAAGGGAATATGCATCGAAGACAGAATCATCACGCCACATTTTGCCTACCTGGTTTAAATAAGCCAAGCATTGATCGATATTATCTCTCCGACAAAACTGTTTCTCCGCCGAACTAAACAATGGCGAGATTGGTGAAGGAGTAAGTCTCATAAAGTCGTGCTCTCTATGACCCGATCTTACGGCGCTTCTAACGCTACATATTGCCAACTGTTTTAGCGGGGTTAGAACCGGAAAGAGCAAGTACCAGACTTCGAAGTAAGTACGCCGTAACCCTTTGTAACTGGTGTTTAGGAGGCACCCAGGCGGATCTTTGAGGTCTGTTTTTCTTCCGCGTAAAAAATAATAACCAGTAACTTTACATCCCAATTATGGACTACTTCCCGTGGCAAAATTAATTAATTATTCAACGATAATTTTTTGAAACATCCGGCAAAAATCATTTTCACCGATCACACGCATGCGCTGTTGTAAACTGGCCAAAAAGATGGCAGGCTCCGATTAATGGCGGCCGGTGTACCGGAAGAATTCAGAAATAAAACTATAAGAAACTTTGACACTATTCAAGGTGCATCCACCTTGATGGTCTTTCATCCTGTTTTGCAACAATGAGGGGGATAGGACTTCGATAGGACTGGAGTTTTAGAAATATCCGCTAGTCAGAATAACAACAGCCTACTACAACGTAAAAGATAAAAGGGTTGAAACTTACGTACAAAAACAGTTATAAATGAAGAATACATACCAGTGGCGGATCCGGGGGAGGGGCCCGGTGGTCCGCCCACCCCGTTAGTTTTAGGACTAAACTGAGGCCCACGGGCCGAAAAAAATTGTTTTTGAGACCGCCCTCCCCCAACCCCCCATCATGTCTCAGAGTCTGGATGACATCCCCCTTTATCTGAAGGCCTGGATCAACCACTGCATACCTGATAAAGAGTTGTGTCTCAGCGTTTTCTCTTACTGTTTCCTGCGCTCTATAAACACCATTTTAGCAAGTTTTCAAGTTTTTGGTTTCTTAGTAAGTGAGAAACCAAAACATTTTCGTAGCCTGCGTAGCTGGCGGTATTGTGTGGGTGCGAGATTAAAGTTTTGGCGGCGGAGCCGTGTTCGAAGCCGCTCGTGACGGTTCCGCCGTCAAATCTCACTCGACTACAACACAATACCGCCAGCTACGCGGGCTAAAGCGCGATCCCCTCCCTTTTTTCCTTCCTCCCTATCCCCTACCCCTTGCGACGCCTGTTAAGCAGACTACTTTTTCGTCCCCAGAGTCCTTCGGCATTGTAAAGACACGCGGAAGTACGCGTGGCTTCGCGTGGCATACCCGTGCCGTTTGCCGTCATGTTATGTGCACATGGAGTCACGCATGGATTCGCGTGACTCTCTACAGTAGAACTAGTAGGTTCGAAACTGCTCAATAATGGTAGATCTTTCAATTTCAGTCGGCTGGAAGAGTGAGTATAGTTGAAAATCTTTCAGTTTGAGTGGTTACGAACAATGCATACTCGCTTTTTATCAGCAGTTATACTTGTGATCGCTTCAGTGTGGTCAACTAAGTCGCTCTCAGACGGCCTTGTGGTCCGAGTGTCGGGAAATGGAACAGACGATATATCCTGTCGGGAATCGAATGCAACCTTTCCGTGTCGATCCTTAGGATTCGCCTTGGAAGCTTTAAAGGACTCAAGCAATCGAAATGAAACGATGTTCACTTTTTTGCTTGACGCTGGGAACGTTTACAGTCTCAACGAGAGCGTGAAAATTAACCAGACAAGTACCTCGGTCATCGTTTATTTGAAATCTAGCAGTAACTTAACTGGTGGTCGATCGGTTATTCGTTGCGCGGATGCAAAGGCTGGAATCGAAATAGGATCAAACACGAGTAATACAAGAAACATTAACTTTGTGGACCTTGAATTTCAAAACTGCAGTTCTCGCTCTGTTGCTGCTGTTGTTTTAATCTGGAATTCTCGAGATATTAACTTCACGAATTGCGTATTTAGAAATAACGCCAAAGCGGGGATCAATGCTTTCGATAGCAGCGTGACAATTGAAAGATGCCATTTCTTGAACAATACCTCTAATGGGTATAATTCAGGGGAAACTTACATAGAAGGTGTCACTTCCGCCGGTGGTGGAGCGGGATTTTTATATCAAGAGGCTTGGANTAGGATTCGCCTTGGAAGCTTTAAAGGACTCAAGCAATCGAAATGAAACGATGTTCACTTTTTTGCTTGACGCTGGGAACGTTTACAGTCTCAACGAGAGCGTGAAAATTAACCAGACAAGTACCTCGGTCATCGTTTATTTGAAATCTAGCAGTAACTTAACTGGTGGTCGATCGGTTATTCGTTGCGCGGATGCAAAGGCTGGAATCGAAATAGGATCAAACACGAGTAATACAAGAAACATTAACTTTGTGGACCTTGAATTTCAAAACTGCAGTTCTCGCTCTGTTGCTGCTGTTGTTTTAATCTGGAATTCTCGAGATATTAACTTCACGAATTGCGTATTTAGAAATAACGCCAAAGCGGGGATCAATGCTTTCGATAGCAGCGTGACAATTGAAAGATGCCATTTCTTGAACAATACCTCTAATGGGTATAATTCAGGGGAAACTTACATAGAAGGTGTCACTTCCGCCGGTGGTGGAGCGGGATTTTTATATCAAGAGGCTTGGAATCTTTCCTTAATAGTCAAAGATTCTATCTTCGAGTTCAACTCCGCCGTTACAAATGACACTAGAGAATTTGTCGCGCCAACCTATCATGTATCAGTAATTATTTTAAGTGGCGGAGGCTTTGTTGTTGTGTTCAGAAAAAACGCCCAATTTTGCCGGGCTTGGATAGAAAATACTCGATTTGCGAACAACAGCGCAACGGTCGGAGGTGGAATCTACGTCGAGCAATCTGACTTGGCCATGGGCAACCACTTCATAATGGTTAGCTCGAATTTGTCAGGGAATACAGCGGGACAGGCGGCAGGGGGACTAAGTTTGTCACAGTGGAACAATGCTTCCAGCTTCACAACAGTGTTTAAAAATTGCATCGTTAGCGAAAACGAGGCACAGCGAGGAGCAGGGATGAATGTATTTTTTATGAACTCCGATGCAACATACAACGACTCTGTGTTAAGGTAAGAGAGCGACATATTTAGAGGCCCACCTGTCCAATGAAATTCTCGGTACAAAGCCAATGACGCATTTGGGTTTTTCGATAAAAACTGTATTTCAATTTTTTTTTTAATTTCAACGAATATTCCGCCGATAATTTTAGTATGGTCGACTCTCTTCTCGATGGCTGGATAGCAAATATTTTCTGCGCTTAAGCCGCAGGTTCTATAGTCTCCCTCACAGCCGTTCTTTGGACGTTTTTTGGATGTCACGCAACGCGTTGCGTGACATCCAAAAAACGGCTGAGAGGGAGGCTACAGGTTCTACGGTTAATCGAAATTTTAAGACAACTGCTTTCAAATGAATTTCTTCTCGCACTTCCGCTAAAAGGAGTAAACTCTCGGTCCCGGCGGCGGGGAATCCGCAATCGAAAGGACGTTGACAGGCTGTATTATTCACAATTCAAATCCATTCACCCCATATGAGGGAATGCAGGTTCTGGAATCCAGGAAATTTTTGCTTGTGGAATCTGGAATACAGATCAAGGAATCCGGGATTGGAATCCAGAATCCAAGTTCCACTAACAAAGACTGGAATCCAGTACCTGGAATCCGGAATCCACGGCGTGGAGTCTAGAATCCAGGCTAGAGCTGTCGTGAAGTGGGGTGACATATGGCGAATCCATCCTAAAAGGCAAATGGGAAATGGTCAAGCTGACGACTAGCCCATGCAGTGCAGTATTTAGCCTGTAGGCTGTTCACTACCTTACCTAGTTTTCCGGTCAAAAATGGGTTTCGAGAAAGTTTTCCCGTGGGTGTTTGATATCATGGCTCAGAACATGCCATTTTTTCTTAGAAGTCTGTTCAACAGAACTTAATGTTTCCTAAAAATTAGTACAGTCGACACCTTTGGTACCCCTAGCACTTTCTTAGAGAGATGTCCGTCTTAAAGAGAGGCAACTTATGATATAGAACGGAAGGGATCAACCCTAGATCTGCGTTCTTAGTGAGTTGTCCGTCATAAAGGATTGTCCGTCTTGTAGAGAGTAAACTGGGACAGGCATGGAAGAACTTTACTTGCCCGTTTTAGGGAGGTGTCCGGGGTGCCGGTGTCCGACCTTTAATAAATCTAATGGGCATTTTACATGGAGGGAAGAAGATCCTTGAATACCAGGAAGATCCTAGAAGGCGGAACAACTTCACACAGGGGCACACAACAACAGTTTTCTGTAAAATATCTATTCCGTGAAGCAAATATTGCCAAGAACTTTCTATTACTTCAGAACAGCTAAAAATTTCTCGATGACCGTTCCATTCAAGCACAATTCTCGAAGTTTATCTATTGAATTCCCTACGATTTTCTGAAGTTTAATTTTCACATTACACTTCCCGAGTTAGGCTATTTTTCGTGGGAAAAATAAAATCTAAATTTGTCGGATTCGAAAATGCGATGGAGGAGGAATCAGAAAAATGTCTCACTTTCGTAATACGTTAAATATGCGTCTAACATATGCCCTTGTAATTTCGAAAAGGCTCAAGTTCTCCTAGGATGACTGAACAGGTACAAATTTTATGGCGCCGCTTAGAATGCATTTCTAGAGATCTTTAAGTCCTCTGGATAGCCTAAAAAATGTTTTCAATGTATTTAGGAGGAGACCGTCGTGGGGTGGCCCTGTTCGCGTTGGATCGGGCCGTGTGGTGCCCAAGTAGAAAAGGGTTGGGAAGGCATTAAAAATGGCGAGCGGCAAAAACAAACATGCGTCAATAACTACCTTTAATCAGAATTATTACTACAATAAGCTTTTGGTAACGCTAAACGAAATGGTCGGCTTTTATTGCCGTTATTAACCAGTGAACTACCCGCCACCATTTTTGTGTGGTCTAGGGGGGGGGGGGCGAAAAGGTGAGGGGGTCGGGGGGGGGGGCCCGCAGGTACCCCCACCCCCTTTGTTTTTGACCAAAACGGGGCCCAAAGGGCCCAAAAAAAATGTTTTTTAGACCGCCCCCCCCCCCCCCCCCCCCCCCTTATCTCAGAGTCTGGATGACTGCCGCCCTTATCTGAAGGCCTGGATCCACCATTGCATACCTGATAAAGAGTTGTGTCTCACCGTTGTTTTCTTACTGTTTCCTGCCCTCTATAAGCACCATTTTAGCAAGTTTTCAAGTTTTTGGTTTCTTAGTAGATGAGAAACCAAAACATTTTCGTAGCCTTTCGTAGCCTAGGCGCAAAAAGAGGAGGGGGGAAGGAAGAAAAGAGCGATCCCCCCTTTTCTCCCTCCTCCCTATCCCCTACCCCTTGCGACGCCTCCTACGCAGGCTACTCTTTCGTCCCCAGAGTCCCTCGGCATTGTAAAGACACGCGGAAGTACGCGTGGCATACCCGTGTCGTTGTGCTGTCATGTTCTGTGCACATGGAGTCACGCATGGATTCGCGTGACTCTAGACAGTAGAACTAGTAGGTTCGAAACTGCTCAATAATGGTAGTTCTTTCGATTTCGGTCGGCTGGAAGAGTGAGTATAGTTGAAAATCTTTCAGTTTGAGTCGTTACGAACAATGCATACCCGCTTTTTATCAGCAGTTATACTAGTGATGGCTTTAGGGTGGACATCTAAGTCGATCTCAGACGGCCTTATGGTCCGAGTGTCGGAAAATGGAGCAGATGATATATCCTGTCGGGAATCGAATGCAACCTTTCCGTGTAGATCCTTAGGATTCGCCTTGGAAGCTTTAAAGGACTCAAGCAATCGAAATGAAACGATGTTCACTTTTTTGGTTGACGCTGGGAGCGTTTACAGTCTCAACGAGAGCGTCAAAATTAACCAGACAAGTACCTCGGTCATCGTTTATTTGAAATCTAGCAGTAACTCAACTGGTGGTCGATCGGTTATTCGTTGCATGGATGCAAAGGCTGGAATCGAAATAGGATCAAACACGAGTTATACAAGAAACATTAACTTTGTGGACCTTGAATTTCAAAACTGCAGTTCTCGCTCTGTTGCTGCTGTTGTTTTAATCTGGAATTCTCGGGATATTAACTTCACGAATTGCGTATTTAGAAATAACGCCAAAGCGGGGATCAATGCTTTCGATAGCAGCGTGACAATTGAAAGATGCCATTTCTCGAACAATACCTCTAATGGGTATAATTCAGAGGAACCTTACATAGAAGGTGTCACTTCCGCCGGTGGTGGAGCGGGATTTTTATATCAAGAGGCTGGGAATCTTTCCTTAATAGTCAAAGATTCTATCTTCGAGTTCAACTCCGCCGTTACAAATGACACTACACAATTTGTCGCGCCAACCTATCATGTATCACTAATAATCCTAAGTGGCGGAGGCTTTCTTGTTGTGTTCAGAAAAAACGCCCAATTTTGCCGGGCTTGGATAGAAAATACTCGATTTGCGAACAACAGCGCAACGATCGGAGGTGGACTCTACGTCGAGCAATCTGACTTGGCCATGGGCAACCACTTCAGAATGGTTAGCTCGAATTTGTCAGGGAATACAGCGGGACAGGCGGCAGGGGGACTAAGTTTGTCACAGTGGAACAATGCTTCCAGCTTCACAACAGTGTTTAAAAATTGCATCGTTCGCGAAAACGAGGCACAGCGAGGAGCAGGGATGAATGTATTTTTTATGAACTCCGATGCAACTTACAACGACTCTGTGTTAAGGTAAGAGAGCGATATATTTAGAGGCCCACCTGTGCAATGAAATTCTGGGTACAAAGCCAATGACGCATTTGGGTTTTTCAATAAAAACTGTATTTCAATTTTTTTTTTTTAATTTCAACGAATATTCCGCCGATAATTTTAGTATGGTCGACTCTCTTCTCGTTGGCTGGATAGCAAATATTTTCTGCGCTTAAGCCGCAGATTCTATAGTCTCCCTCGCAGCCGTTTTTTGGACGTTTTTTTGGATGTCACGCAATGCGTTGCGTGACATCCAAAAAACGGCTAAGAGGGAGGCTACAGGTTCTACGGTTAATCGAAATTTTAAGACAACTACTTTCAAATGAAGTTCTTCTCGCACTTCCCAGACTTCCGCTAAAAGGAGTAAACTCTCGGTCCCGGCGGCGGGGAATCCGCAATCGAAAGAAAGTTGACAGGCTGTATTATTCGCAATTCAAATCCATTCACCCCATATGAGGGAATGCAGGTTCTGGAATCCGGGAAATTTTTGCTTGTGGAATCTGGAATACAGATCAAGGAATCCGGGATTGGAATCCAGAATCCAAGTTCCACTAACCATGACTGGAATCCAGTACCTGGAATCCGGAATCCACGGCGTGGAGTCTAGAATCCAGGCTAGGGCTGTCGTGAAGTGGGGTGACATATGGCGAATCCATCCTAAAAGGCAAATGGGAAGTGGTCAAGCTGACGACTAACCCTTGCAGTGCAGTATTTAGCCTGTGGGCTGTTTACTACCTTACCTAGTTTTCCGGTCAAAAATGGGTTTCAAGAAAGTTTTCCCGTAGGTGTATGATATCATGGCTCAGAACATGCCATTTTTTCTTAGACGTCTGTTTAACAGAACTTAATGTTTCCAAAAAATTAGTGCAGTCGACACCTTTGGTACCCCTAGCACTTTCTTAGAGAGATGTCCGTCTTAAAGAGAGGCAACTTATGATATAGAACGGAAGGGATCAACCCTAGATCTGCGTTCTAGTGAGTTGTCCGTCATAAAGGATTGTCCGTCTTGTAGAGAGTAAACTCGGACAGGCATGGAAGAACTTTACTTGCCCGTTTTAGGGAGGTGTCCAGGGTGCCGGTGTCCGACCTTTAATAAATCTAATGTACATTTTACATGGAGGGAGGAAGATCCTAATACCAGGAAGATCCTAGGAGGCAGAACAACTTCGCGCAGGGGTACCCAACAACAGTTTTCTGTAAAATATCTGTTCGAAGAAGCAAATACTGCCAAGAACTTTCTATTACTTGAGAACAGCTAAAAATTTCTCGATGACCGCTCCATTCAAGCACAATTCTCGAAGTTTATCTATTAAATTCCCTACGATTTTCAGAAGTTTAATTTTCACATTTGACTTCCGAGTTAGGCTATTTTTCGTGGAAAAAATAAAACCTAAAATTGTCGGATTCGAAAATGCGATGGAGGATGAATCAGAAAAATGTCTCACTTTCGTAATACGTTAAATATGCATCTAACATTTTTGGGAAAATAATACTCAAGCCCTTGTAATTTCGAAAAGGCTCAAGTTCTCCTAGGATAACTGAACAGATACAAATTTTATGGCGCCGCTTAGAATGCATTTCTAGAGATCTTAAAGTCCTCTGGATAGCCTAAAAAATGTTTTCAATGTATTTAGGAGGAAACCGTCGTTGGGTGGCCCTATTCACGTTGGATCGGTCCGTGTGGTGCCCAAGTAGAAAAGGGTCGGGAAGGAATTAAAAATGGCGAGCGGCAAAAAGAAACATGCGTCAATAACTACCTTTAATCAGAATTATTACTACAATAAGCTTTTGGTAACGCTAAACGAAATGGTCGGCTTTTATTGCCGTTATTAACCAGTGAACTACCCGCCACCATTTTTGTGTGGTCTGTCCCTAGTACTAGGATCTTCCTAGCAGAGGCAGTTTACTTGGTGCTAGGATCTTCCTACCTCTCAGCTAGGAATTCGAAGATCCTTGCCCATGTAAACAAAAAAGGCGCTAGGATGTCTGCCTTCTAGGATCTTGCTCCTTCTGGCATGTAAACAGCCCCTGGGTAACAGTCGTGGTTAATTGTTTCAGGTTTGAAGCAGTGAAATTTAGCAACAACCATGCCAGGGCAAGCTCTGCAATCCGCTTCACAACAGCACAACCGTACGGCAGCAACGTGGATTTGTCTGCAGAATTTATCAACTGTTCCTTTACTTACCACAAAATGTCAATCTTTGCGCGAACAAGCCCCTTTACAAGTCAGCGAATAAACTTAATGTTCAAGGGAAACAACATCTTTCAGCAAAACAGTGGAGGTAAGATGATAAATCGGCGGTAACCTCGCTCTTGCACCTAGCTTGTTTCTTGCCCATGACTAGTAGGGACCTTACGATACCACAACAGTGATGCCAGTGAAAAAGTCCCTAGAAAACTAACTTTGGGTCCATCCTAACCTACGTAGCTGGCGGGATGCTTTAGTGCTTTTGGCGGCCGAGCCTAGATAAGATTTGGATTAAGCCGCGAGGAATTCGCGTAGCGGCTCAGGTTCTCCGGGCATATTAACAATCCCTTCAGCTTTACGCAGGTTATGTTCTTCAATTTTTTTCAGTCTCAAATATTCTAACTCCTTCACTTATTGAAGAGTTGAAAAATTATGTTGAAAAAGCTGATGAGTTCGGGAAGACAGGGAAATTTACAGAAAAACGTGATGCATGTACAGATCAGTTGTTGGTTTCGGTTGCTCTCTACTCTGTTTTCAAAACTATAATAATTGTACTTTGACGTTCTCTTGGCCGTCGTCGTTGCCTTCACCGTTGCCGTCGCCGTCGTCACTTAGCCTACGTAGCAGGCGTCGAAAGGGGTAGGGGGTAGGGGGCAGGGGATAGGGGACGCAGGCTATCGTCACTAAATTACGAGGGACCTTACGATCCGACAACGGCGACGTCCATAAAAACTTCGCTGAAAAATAGACTCCGTATCCTTTCACTTTTTTTCGCGATTATTCCAAGGGTTTCAGTTACTTAAAAGAAGGGAATTTGGATTGGGGCTGAAGAGAAGGGACAGCGCCCAAGTTCTGACAGAGCTGGTAGAATTTATCGGCTTGCCGTTCCCGTTCCCAAGTAAACTTAAAATTTGGTCATTTCACGTCGTAGTTATGCAGGGACGGTAAAGAAATGTACAAAAAAAGCGTGATGCACGTGCAAATTTGTTGTTTTGCTCATTAAACCTATTACTTTTTTGACGTTCCCGTTGCCGTCGCCGTCGTAGTTTCGTAAGGTCCTTACGAAATGAATTAAGAAGCAGGGGAAAGACAAACAAACAACAACGTAGACTATTGTCAGTGAGATCTCCGTTTCGAGAACCAGTGCTGCAATCTTTCGAAGTGTCTTCTTAAAGAACATAGCAATTGCACGGTTCGCTTTGTGAAAATATTTCGTAACTGTTATTTATATTGCGGGCCTACGCATCTCTGAATGTTTCAACTATAAATTGTCGCCGATGAGCGGAGAAGAGACGCGTCCTCTTTACATTATATAATAACATATTTAGTGTAAGATCGGAAGGCAGCATACAAGGTTGCCACTGGCAGCGGCCATCTTTCCATTAATGACCTCCTAGCCAATGATACGAGTGCTGTATGCAATGAGGCAGGGAACAACTGGGGTGAATCCCTTACACTTTTTGAAAAGAATTGTGGATTCTTTTACATCCACTTTGATTTAACCAATGAAACAATTGTGGAGGAGAGCGCCGCTTCGTCCAATGATGCAATATCTGAACTGATACAAGATCTTAAATCGCAGCCAGCATAATCTTAGCAGTGTTTTTGAAAAACCCTGGTTGTTGGTCCGGCCGGGGTTTGAAGCTGCGTCCTCCCGTTCAGCAGACCGGCGCTCTACCAAGTGAGCTAACCGGCGCGCGGGCGCATTTAGCTCAGACTTACTTACAAACTTGACGGCATAATGGCTGCGCCTTCTCAACTGCAGCCCACAAAAACGGTCATGATCTTGTAAACAAAGGTGCATTTTTTACATATGAGAGTTGTCGTTGTGGGCTCTTGGTTTCCTTACGTTGCTTTTTGTTGCTTTTAAGCCTTGTTTTTATGTTAGCACTTCTATTTTCTTTAGGAGGGGCCGCAGCATTCCAAGATTGCGTTATCCACGTTGATGGGAAGCTAACTTTCGCTAATAACACAGGATCTAACGGAGGGGCACTGTTGATAATGTCAAGTCAGATCAAACTTTACCCCTATAGTGAACTGACATTCATTGGGAATCAGGCCACGGGACTTGGTGGGGCTGTTTATGTCCAGGAACACATGATGGATGAGTTTATACACGAAAACAATCCCGACTGCTTTCTGGCTTACATCAATCCACTCTTCCCACCCTCAAAATGGAAGGTATATTTATCTGGCTATGATGAAAATAAATGTTTAAACAGGGAATAACCTCAAAGCTGAAATTGAAAGTGACAGAGCTGATCTTTCCTGAAATTTCACTGGGAGTACAGCCTGTGTTGGGAATCTTGAAAGTATGTGAGGCACTAAAGATGATGTTACACGGGAAGATTCGCAACGACGATTTTGAGCGCAACATATCGTTGCAATGTTGTAACAATGTTGTAACTATTCGAAACAATGTCGCAACAATGTTGCAACGCTGTGTTGCGCTAAAAATCGTCGTTGCGAATCGTCTCATGTAACATCACCTTAAGAAAAAATTTCTTT